ACCTTAATTAATTAATCACACTAAACCCAATGAAACGAACGATTGATTGATTTGAGTGATGAATTAAGGAAAACTTAAATTGCAAGAATTAAAATAAAGAAAAATTAAACAAACAGAAAAATCTAGGTTTCAAAGTGATGAAGATCTAAGGTTATGAATTCACCAATGACAATCCTATTTCCTTTTTTTAGAACCAATTACTATCCAATTATGATGCTATTGAGGCCCAAAAAATCTCAAGCTGGGCCCAAATATATTTTCGACCCAATACAACGCCAAGTGGAAAATCCTTATTTAAGCAACATGTTATGCTACAAGCTTAAGTGGGCCCAAGCCACGCGAATGCCTGGGGTTTGCTGAGCGGGTTGTGGTATGAATGGTTACGAGTATTCACAAGGCCCATTGATGGTCCAAGGAGTAGAAGTTTTGGGCTACTTGAGAGCATCAAAACTCAAGCCCATTCTTTGAGGTCCAAACATATGGGTAAGCTTGAGAGAAAACCCAATAGTCAATCACCTTAAGAAAAGACCCTAACATCTTAGAAAAATATCCAATAGCCATAGCCCATAAAAAATCCCACATCAGCCAAAGCTTCCAGCAATCTGACGAAATCAAAGGGAACTCACAAACCGCTGGAAACAAAACAGCCCAACCCAGCACCTTATAAATATCCAATGTCGTGCATCTTTGTTAAAACCAGATCACAGCCAAACCATCAAAACCAAACAAACCCATGTGCTGATCACCTTTTTGACCAAGCACCCTTACACATGGAGAAGTCCAGCTGTTTGAGGACCTTGGAACCTCGAAAAGCTGCGTGCCTATGGGTTCAGGCTAAGGAAATTTCACCAAACAAGGTGGAATGGAAGAAAGTGAGGAAAATCGGAGAGGATGACTTGACAAAATTAAGGTTTTCAGCGCCTATAAAAGGAGCCACTTTCTTCCCAGCAAAACAAGACACAACAAACAGATCGAAGGCAAGCATTCCCTTTGGAATCCTTCAATTTCATGCTTTGTTCTTCCATCTTCTTCCCCTCTCTCTCAAAACCCACTTCCAGAGAGAGCAAGCATCATCTCTCATCTATGGAACCTTTCAATTTCATGCTTTGTTCTTCCATCTTCTTCCTTTTAACAAAATTGACGGCAGAACCATTTGTTCTAACGAAACTGAAGTTGAAAGACCACATGAACGATTTTGGAAATTGAGGGACTTAAATGCAAATCAAGTCTAAGTTCAAGGACTAATAAAACGATTAACTCTTAAAAATAATATAAGTAAAAAAAAAATTCCAAAACCCCCCAACGACATTTCTTTTTTTGATGAAGAAAAAGGGGGAAAATCCCAGACTCCAACACAACAACTAACTAGTACTAATCAGACGAGCCTTAATTGCTAATTGGCTGAGAGGGGAGAGAGGGAGGGTAAGCCAACGAGGTTGACCAAGTAGTGGAGGTTTGATGGGATTGGACCAGTGAGGAAGGTTGAGAAGAGGTTGATTGGATCTGATGAGGTTGGTCGGAAAAGGGTACAAAGGTGGGGTTTTGTCAGGGCAGAGGGAGTTCCTACGAAGTCATCACATGGTATGGAATTTCTTTGTACTCACCATCAAACTTCATCATGATCGTTTAAGGAAAAAAAAAAGAATTATTCTTATTACCAATGAATATAATGCCATGTTTTATTTATTTTTTTGTTTATTTAATTCTAAGCATGATCGTAATTAATTACAACTTGTAATGATGAGTTTGTATTATACAAAAGATCAAAGACTGAAGTTCCTCGATCCTCATCATATAACTAGATTAGGACCTGGAGTCATTTGATTGAATCAAAATATGAAGTTCTTTGATTCCAAATAATTGATGGCGTAAAGTTCCACCAATTTAAAAAGCACATAAGGACATGAAAATCCTTGATTTTGTATTAATCAAAATCAGAATTCCATGACGTCTGCATATGTCAAGAACTGGAACCAGAAGTTTTGAGCGCGCATATACATTGATTTGAATATGAAGTTCAAAGCACAATTATTAATTCAATTTAATTAGATCTACGTATTCAAACTTGAAGCTTTGAATATATGTTGATATGAACCTGAAGTTCATAGCTATTCATGAATCTTAATACTTATGTGAACCAGAAATTCATTACTCCTTTGTGCCTATTTGCCATTTGAACTTCATAGAACCTGAAGTTCTATGTCCATGGGATGAATTATCAAAAACTCAAATTTTATGATTTCATGGAAAAATATCATACTTTGAGGCACATTGAAATGGTTGGAAATCTGATTCTTCAACTTGTAGTTCTTTCTACATATTGAATCCACATTAACATTGGATTATCTTGGAATTTCATAGTGTTTAATTAATTAATTATAGAGTTATTTACATTAACAGCCCTTGAGGTTTTCGGTGTTTTCACAAAACCCCCTAAGGTTTCTATTTGTTTTCACAAAACCCCTTTTCGTTGATTCTACATCCAAAAATGTTGTGATTTCATACATCAAAACTTTTGCAAATAACAAAATTAACCTCAATGAATGTATATGCAATCAAATCTTAAAAGGCTAACTTTTTCATTTGAAGAAATTTTGAATATAAAATCATAAATTTTGGACAAAAAATCAATGGAAATGGGTTTTGTGAAAACAATTTAAGACCTAAGGGAGTGTTCATGTAATTTTCAAATTCTCATAGTGTAAATAACTCTTTAAATTATTCCTCGTTTATACCACTTTACGCATTTTCATTATTATTATTTTTAGATTTAATTTAATTTAATTTATGTTGGGTTATTAGTTAATTTTGTTTTACAATGGTAATGAACCGAAAGTTGAAGATTATGATTTCATGAATCAGAAGTTTATTGAAAATATGTGAAAAGTTCGGCCACTATATAATATTTTATTTTTTAATATTTATATTCAATAATATGTGAAACTTTTGTGTTTATTGAAAATTTTGTGAAAAAACACTGTATTAAACATGAATAATATATATATATATGTATTGTATGTTTGCTTTTTAAATAAATATGTATTTTACCTAGTCTTTAAGATGTGTACGGAAAACGAAAGTATTATTGAAAAATATGTACTTATGTGTATAATACAAGTATTAAATGGAAAAATGCTAAATTCTTTATAGAGTAATAAGTAAAAAATCAAAAGAGGATAATAGAGACTTGGGTTATGGCCTAATAGTAAAGGATAATGCTCTAAACTACTCTTATCGATAAAGAAAAATCAGGGAATTTACAAAATTAAAAAATTAAAAAAAAAACAGTACAGCCGCCCGGCTATACTCTATATTCAAATAAAATAAGAAAAGAACCCGCCTAGCCCGCTTAGGCGGCCGATTTTTACAAAACTTGAATGGGCATGTTTTTTTTATATTTCTTTTTCCCTGGCGGGTCTGGCATCTCTGCAAATACTAAAAAATGGAGATCATCCCTCCTGTTAGTGATATGAGATATGAATCATTCTTGGACAAATCAAAGCAGCACAAAGCCTCTTCTTCAGGGTTGGTGCTGGGAAGACCATTGTTCATCAACTCTGAGCCAGTCCTTGGTTACCATAAATTAGGGTGAACCTTGGGAGTTTGCCTGCATTCAATCAATATCATCAGAATCAAATGACCAACTATCTCTCCGGTTTCAATTTGGAAAGGAAAGAGAGGAGAAATCTAAGTCACAAGCAGTAAGATTTACTCTCTTTTTTTCTCCAGTTTTTTAGATGGCATGTATGTTTGGTGACTTAATGCATTATGTTGTTTGGTTTTAGCAGTGTTAGTTATTCTTGTAGAATGCAGGCTCAGAGTTAGAGTTTATAAGAAATTATGATTCGTTGCTGTGTTAATAAAATATTAAGCATCTTTATTCATAATTTTGTCTTTTGGTAATATAGGTTTTTCTTAATTGAAAATAGGTCCCTCTGTAGTTGAGGTGTTGGTAGTCAGTTTATGTGACTTTTGATCTCATGAGTTTGATGAGAGTAGAAGTTGCCATGCTTTACTAATGCCGGTTACGAGAAGTTAATCCTAGAGAAATACTATTTGAGGTTTAGCAAGATTTAATTTTGAATCTGGTTATTTCTGCCAAATCCTTTGATTGGCTTTTCAATGCAATTAGTCGTATGGCATACAGTTCATATTCAAATTACATAGGTATTTTATACAAGTATATAGATTTGGAATTATATGAACTTGTCTACAAAACAAATATTTGAAGCAGATTTTGGGATCCTTTTGGATAAACTTTGAGTTAAAACTTAAAACTAGTGGGATTAATGCGATATGATGATGAACCGAAATCATTAATGGAATTTTATAATACTGACCTGATCTGTAAAGAGCCAAACGTATGTAATAACTTAGGAATTCTGCAGCCATTTGACAACCGAAACAAATAAGTTAATGTTTTGTCAGCTGCATCCATGGACTCTTTTGCTGATTTAATTTACTTTTTGCCTTGCTTTGCATGCCAAATTATTTGATATTTACATCTGATATGCAAGTTAATCATATGATGTTTGCATTTTGCAGCTTCAGCAGCAGCACCTTTCTACAAGGAGATCCGTTTCTTGGAATTTTCAGGACCTTTTTCTCCTCTGTTGATTACGTTGATGATTCGTTTTCTCTATGCAAAGGAGAATTTGCAGGGCGTACAAAAACACCACAGCACAATATAAATTTGGCGAAAATACTTGCAATTATACAAACACACTGCAAGAATTTTTATGGTTTAGATTTGTCCAAAGGCTCTGTTTATGGGCGTGAGGCATTGTCAATTGTAAAGTTGGTGCCCAAAAATGATATGACAAAATTGTATGTTTAAAACGTATAGCCGCACGGCTTTACTTGGATATTTTAACAGTATAGCCGCTTGGCTATACCATTTAAATACGACTATTTTAAGAGTATAGCCGCACGGCGATACGCTTTAAATGTGAACAAAAAGCTTGCACTCGCACATGACGGAGCTTGCAGAAGCCATTTCGCTTCTCTATCAACTCAAGCTTCGATTTGTTTTCTTCAGTTTCGGCTGCTTCGTCCTCCTTGTTCGGCCCCGAAGAAAGAGCCAACCAGCCTAGGAGGCCCGCCCAGCCTCCTAGCGCCCGCCTAGCCGCCTAGCCGCCGGCCTAGGCCGATTTTTCGAAAACAGAGATTGACTGAAAGTCTGAAACCCGAAATTGAAAAAGTTTAGCTGCAAATTTGAGCTTGAGATTGAGATTGGGAAGCCGAAGCAAGCACAAGTCAGGTCCATAGATGAAGAGATCATTAGATTCTTAATTCATCTAATTCCATTTGCTGACTTGGTGTCTGTCTTCATTCAGTGGAAGGAAATGATGAAGCTATCCTATCATGGAGTATCTACGGTCTTGCCAATAACAAGGTTCGGTTTTTAGGCCCCAATCTCAAATTCTGACTATTTATTTCTGGTTTGGTTAAGCAATAGATTGATTGGTTTGGTTCTTCTTGCTTGAAACTTGATAAATCTTTATGCATTTATCCATTGATGGTTCTTCTTGGTTGGACTACTTTTCATTCTTTGGGTATTGCATTTCTGTTATAGATTTTGACATTGATGGTTCTTCTTGGTTGGACTGCTTTTCATTCTTTGGATATTGCATTTTTTGGTTGGACTACCTATCTTCGAAAATGGAGGGGCAGAAGAGTACAAAATCAAATAGCTTACCATATTTTTGTTGCTGGTTCTTCCTCACATATAATAGCAGGGTTAGGCCTAGGATCAGCAGTCCAGTAGACAACACAGTACTGGTTACTATGATCTTTGTATTGTGTCCTTGATCTAGGAATGAAGTATTTGAAAGCAGAAGACTGAGGAGTCAGAAATTCATAAAGAAGAAAATCTTTACTTTTTATCATCCAACAAACAATTCATGCTAGTTTCTGAGACAATTCCAAAGAATTATTTTTCTAATAATGTCAAAAGTTTTCTGGCTCTATCTTGTTTCTAATCATGTCACTGTTGGAAGATTTCTTTCTTCTTTTTTCCTTGGTGGCTTTTATTTTTCTTTCAAACTTTGTTTTAAACAGCAAGATGACTCCATACCTAGTTATGATGAAGCCATTCTTCTGTAAATATCTTGCCCATTTATATTGGAATATCTTATATCAATCAGATCGCTGAATCACAGCAAGCACCCCCTTCCTCCATCTCAGATATCCAAATTTGAAAAAGCGGTGCAGGAGCAGTTGTTCATGCACATCATCTGACATTCCTTGAGGTTCATACTTGTGTTATACCAGGATTGTTCTGTACTTGGCAATTTCACCCCAGAGTACTTCTTAAAGATGTCTCCACTGCAATTCAGTTGGCTCTTTCTCACACAGCTATAGACCAATCCACCAAGTCCCAGTCTTGTTGAAAGGTCGGTATAAATCCTTTCAGGCAGCTACATACTGTGGACTTGTCAATAATACTTGCACCATTTGGACCACATATTCCGTATTTACCACAGATGTCAGTCGTTGTTGCTATTAGATAAATGACCCAACCTTGGTTTCCATCATTCCCGATGTAGCTCAGCCCAAATCCATCTTGAGTTGACTCCAGCCTGAGAAGAGTTGAGCTGTTGAGAAGCTTATAACCATAATATACTTCATCATCATTATCCAACACAAAATCATATGTTGGATTTAAATTATGCATCCCAATTAATTGGATTCCATTCCATGGTGCAGTCCGATATTTTATAACAGAACCCTCCCTCAGAATTAATTCATGGTATCCATAAGGACCAAGTTGATATGCATAAGTCCTTGAGAAGGATCCTGGGGGTTTTTCCAGGGTGTAAGATGCCAATTAAAACATGTGATTTTGTTCCTAACAAGCTTCATACCTGGTATTAATGTATCACCTGGGTAATCAAAACTCTGCCTTAAAATATTATCACGGTCATTATGACCATTGCCATATATCACAACAAGATTTCCGGAATCCAAAAGATGTGCCACTGGATTCTTTGCAGAACTTGATGTGTTGGAAGACCTGAAGTGTTCTTATGGTCGACAGGGACAAGAATTCCAGGGCTGCTCAACTTGTTTACACCTGATGAACCAGTGAGGGGTGTGTTTCTTTTAGTCTGCAATAGCTAGAGTCTTTTGGTTATTTACTTACTTTGCTGTGAGAGGAGAAAGAATTTTGTGGGTTGCGAAAGTGATCGGTGGGTATGAGGATGGCAGATTGGGAGATTGGAAGAGAGAGAGGAGACAGTGATAAGTTGGGGTAGTGAGAGAACGGTGTTTATGTTGCCAAATTAAAAAGAATAATGCTACTCTTATAATATTTTGTATACTACATTTCCATACTACATGATGTGGCACCTTATTTTGGACATGCCACCTCATTTAATTTCATTTTATGTTTTTTAATTTTTTAATTAAAAACCTTAGTAAAAAAATTGATTAGATCTTACGTTTTATTCTCCACTCCATCTCTTTCTTCTCTCTCCCACCGCTGCAGCCTCCTCCCTTCTTGTCCTTCTAGCCATTCCTCCGTTCTCCATTCTTTTAGTTGATTCTTATTTGATTTCTAGCAAACCATCTTTTCTTTCCTTTTTACTTTTATAAAGAATGATTTTATCTAATTGTTTCATTCAAAATTAAACGTGTCGAAAGAAAGAAAAATGTCTATATCATGTTAAGGGTTATGGGCCATTGTTCATGGATGAAAGTTCTCAGATCTATCTACGATGATTGGTTTTTTTAATTTACTCTTTTGTATCTTTTGTGATTTTTTTCCCATTTGTTCTGGAAATTAAGGAGGAGGGATGGAGGATGAAGGGTTTGGGGTTTAGAGGTACTTTTAAGAGGGAGGAGGAAATTGATTGAGGGAGACGGAGAATGGTGGAGGAGGAGGACGCAAGAATATGAGAAGTCTGACAAATTTTATTATCTATATATATAAAGCAAAATGTAGAGAATTGTGAAACATTTAAAATACCAGAAAATGTCATTGGTTAATACAAACATTAAGAATTGACATTATTAATTAAATGAAGATAATATGGTAAATTCACACTTTTCATATTAAAAAAAATTAAAATTAAAAGAAAAATCAGATTAATTACATGGTTTGGTCTACCAAACATTTTTATCACACAAAAAAAAAAAAAAATTTAGTCACTCAATTTTACACAAAAATTCAATTTCATCATTAGGAAAAAAAAAAAAAATTTAAGCCTAGTGACCAAATTGAAATTTCATGCAAAACCAGTGACAAAAAAAAACCCAATATATATAATCTATTTATAAAAAGAGAAAGACAGAGAATGATAAAATATTCAAAATACTAAAAAATGCCCTTAGTTAAAAAAATATATTATGAAATGAACATATTCATTACATTTAAATTGACTTACTAATATTTAAAAATAAAATATTGATATATATATATATATATAAACTCTAATTGGCATGGGGCTAGTATATATAGAAACTATGATCTCTCTTTATTAATTACAATTGTGTATGGGCACCATTTGTGTAGCCTTGTAATGGCATAATATTATAGGCACGAAAATATTAATTCATGAGGCTTACTGCTTCTCTTGCGTAGTGGATGCTATATAAGTTTCCCTCATTCGCAAGATTTGCTTCAAATTCAACGTAAACATCCAATAGTGCCTGATAGCAAACTTTTTAGACACTGTTTTAAACCTTTCATCATAGGGGTTTGAGGCTGATCCGATGCAAGTGAAACTTGAACAGACATTGTTTTGCTAAAGAATCTGGAAGAGATCGAAGGTAGAGAATAATGATCTTAATTGCTCAAGGATTGGTGTGAGTTGAAGAGTTATGGTTCTTACCTATTGATAGTCAAAGCGTCTGTCTTTGTCTCTCCCTCACCCTCTCTAACCTAGAAAGGCACAGTTGGAATACCCAACTTGTGTTAAACATGGATCCCAACGGAGAGATTGTTTAATTTCTGTTGTGATTCATATTTAACACATGTTGAGTATCTTCCAGCTGTGCCCTTCTATGGATATATAGCTAGATTACAGAGGGTGAGCGAGAGACAAAGACGCTTTCACTATAAATAGGTAAGAACCATAGCTCTTCAACTCACACCAATCCTTGAACAATTAAGATCATATTCTCTACCTTCGATCTCTTCCAGATTCTTAACTAGCAATACAATGTCTGTTCAAGTTTCACTTGCATCGGATCAACCTCAAAGCCCTAAGGCCACTCCTAATGATATTAATCGACGTTCTGCTAATTTTTCTCCGAGCGTTTGGGGATCTCATTTTCTGTCATATGCCTCTGTGGTAGCCTAATACTATATAGGTACTTCGTATCTGCAACAATTATTTTGAATATGTATATATATATTTTTAAAGGACAATGCTTGGCTCCTGATATATCAGGAGCCATTCCTCCTCAATACAAGACATGGCCTTCTTAAAAAACGACACATGTTTGTTTGTTTGGTTTTTTTTTTTTCACTGACTCTCCTCTTTGGTTGGACAAATCCCTATCTCTTCTCACCCGCTCTCCTCTCCTCCCCCAGCTCTCTCTCTTCTTTCATCTCCCCATATGTGTCTCTTCCCATGTTTTTTTTTTCACCGACTCTCCCTCTCTCTTCTCACCCACCCTCCTCTCCTCCCCAAGCTCTCTTTTCTCTCATCTCCCCATCTCTGTCTCTTGCCATGTTTCTTTTTTCTTTTTTTCTTTTTTTCTTTTTTGTTTCACTGACTCTCCCTCTCTCTCTTCTCACCCACTCTCCTCTCCTCCCCCAGCTCTCTTCTCTTCTCTCCTCATCTCTGTCTCTTCCCCTGCAACTCTTTAGAAGAAATTTTCAGCCCCTCTCTTCCTATCGCTGCTCCTCCATCATCATCATCATCACCCATACACTATGTATTGATTTCACTCCTTTTTAATTTTTAATTTTATTGAGCTATTTAATGGGGAGTTTTGGAAATTTTGGGAATGGTGGAAGAAAGAGATGGAGAGATGGAGAGATGAGAGGAGAGAGCACGGGAGGAGAGGAGAGGCGAGTGGGTGAGAAGAGAGAGAGAGAGAGTTGGTGAAAGAAAAAAAACAGGTGTCATTTTGTAAGAGGCTACAACTTGTATTGAGGAGGAATGGCTCCTGATATATCAAGAGCCAAGCATTGTCCTTTTTTGAATGAATAAGGGGGAATAAATATGTATATTTTCATATTACTAAAGATTCATGGTTTAAATTTGCATGAACCATGCTGAAGTTCCTATCTTTTTAATGGCCTGTCAATCTGTTTTTGTAGGAAACAAACATCAAAGCTAAGCAACGTGCCCAAGAACTGAAGGAAAAGGTGAAGATGATCATAATGGCTCCAGTTAAAAAGCCTTCACAAAAATTGGACTTGATTCAGGACATTCAGCGCTTAGGTGTTTCTCACCATTTTGAAAATGAGATTGAGGAACTTCTGCAGCAAATTCACAACAGCTCCCATGACAGTACTGAGCCTGGGGACCAAGAAACTGATAATGAGCTTTACACTGCAGCGCTCCGATTTCGATTACTCAGACAACAAGGTTATAATATTTCGTGCCGTACGTAACCCTCATGGTTTGTCTTATAATTATGGATTAATTTTCTTCCTCTGATCATGGCTTGTTTTAAAAATGCCTCATGATGCAGATATATTCAATAATTTCAAGGACAGTGATGGGAAATTTAAGGAATCCCTGGTGAATGATGTAGTAGGACTTTTAAGCTTGTACGAAGCCACACATCTTAGGACCCACAGAGAGGATATACTTGATGAGGCCTTAACCTTCACCACCACTCATCTTGAATCTGCAACGCACCGTTTAAGCCCCATACTTTCGAAACAAGTCACTCATGCCATGTACTAGCCATTCTGGAAGGGCTTGCCAAGACTAGAAACAAGGCATTACCTGTCTCTCTATCAGGAATGCGATTCACAGAAATAGACTCTCCTGAATTTCGCAAAG